CTCTCCCCCTCTAGAAAATAATCTGTTTTTCTATTTTTTCTACCTAGGTGAATAACTTCACACTTCCCTACATTAAATTCCATCTGCCACCTATTCGCCCACTCCCCGAGCCTATCTATATCCCGTTGCAATCTTTTTGCATCATCCTCAGAGCTGACTCTCCCACCTAGTTTAGTGTCATCCACGAATTTAGATACGTTACATTCAATGTCCTCGTCCAGATCATTGATATAAATTGTAAATAGCTGACGCCCAAGCACTGATCCTTGTGGCACTCCACTAGTCACATCCTGCCAATTCGAGAATGACCCGTTTTTCCCTACTCTCTGTTTTCTACCCGTTAGCCATTCTTCAATCCATGCTAATATGTTCCCATTAATCCCGTGGGCCTTAACCTTGTGCAATAGTCTTTTGTGTGGCACTTTGTCAAATGCCTTTTTAAAATCTAAATATACTACATCTACTGGTTCCCCCCTATCTAACCTGCTAGATACATCTTCAAAAAACTCTAAAAGATTAGTTAAGCATGACTTCCCTTTTGTAAAGCCATGTTGACTCTGCCTAATCTTGTTATGGTCTTCCAGGAATCCCATAACGACATCTTTAATTAAGGACTCAAGAATTTTCTCTACCACTGATGTCAGACTAACTGGTCTATAGTTCCCCATCTTTTCTCTCCCACCCTTCTTAAATAGTGGTGTTACATTTGCAATCTTCCAATCAATGGGAACCGTTCCGGAATCCAGAGAATTTTGGAAGATCAAAGACAAGCCATCCACTATCTCAGTAGCGACCTCTTTTAAAACCCTAGGATGTAGGCCATCAAGTCCAGGAGATTTATCAGTTTTAAGACCTGACAATTTACCTAAAACCATTTATTTATTAATATCAGTTCCCCCAAGTTTCTCGCTAACATTGTCTTCTTGGTTCCCCTCTATTCTTGGTAGGTTTTCAGTATTTTCTAAGGTGAAGACAGTAGCAAAGTACTTGTTTAATGACTCTGCCATGTCTTTGTCCCCTACTATAATTCCCCCCGTCTCTGCCTGTAGCGGACCCACATTTACCTTTGACAGCCTCTTCCTCTTTATATATTTATAAAAACTCTTGCAGTCTGTCTTTATGTTCTTCGCTATACTAGGCAAAGGCAGAATATCAATGGGAAAGACAGCAAAGCTGAAGGAGTTTCTAAAACACTGTTACAATTCATTTGAAACTTGATAGTTATAGCTTGGTAGGACATGATCCAATTTATTTTTCTGTTTTGCTACTTGGTCTTCCAATTTCTCCACAGCTCCTCAGGCTAGCTGGTCTGTCACTAGTTGTGCCTTGGAGGACTACATCTGCCTAGCTCAGCAGCTGGACCATTGAGACTATCACAGAGGGTTGACTTTACTCTGATATTCCATTACCAAACAGGAACTGCTGATGACAGACCAACCAGCTCCCCCTGCAAACCAAAGCCCTAATCGGTGATCCTAGCTGGATAAAGCAGTGGGTAGCTTGTAGGACAGTGCACTCAATGGCAAGCTGTGCAGTTCTAGTCAGTTAATACTCCAGTACTCCAACGCACATTCTGGGGTCGCCAAGCTTTGGCTCTCGCCAGCCTGCACCTTGTACTTTCCAGAATTAGTTAAGCAGGATGTGTCTCCAGAGTGTGAGCATAAATATTCCGTGGGAATTTCCACACATATGTGGATGCATGGAACTCAATTTGGTTTGTATATCAATCATGGTGATCAGTTTCCATTCGTCAGGAAGTACAGATAAATACAATAGAAAAGGTTAGATAGCAGGGAACGGTTTGCATAGTAAAACATTATTCTTATTTTAGTCTTTGATATAAGTACTACAGACCACCACAAGAGGAGTTTGAATTTAGTTCCTTTGACCCCTTTCTCTCAGCTTGGCTAAGATTTGTGTGTCAGCCTAGCTCAGTTGGCAACACTCTTGCTTTTGAGTGAGAAGGTTGTGGGTTCAATCCCCATATCAGGACTCAGTCTAGATTGACATTCCATTGAAGTACTGGGCGTGCGCTGCATTGTTGAAGTTTTATAACAAGATCCTTTCTGCCTTTTCATTTGGATGCTACAGTCCAGTATCACTATATGAAAAGAGAAGGGAGTTTCATCCAAGTGTCTTGGCCAAAAAGCTCTCCAAATAAAATTGGTTGTTCATTTCATGGCTGTTTGTGGAACATTGCTGTGTGCAAATTGGCTACCACATGGATAAGGCAGCATAAAATTATGCAAAGGAACATGAAAGAAAAGTTGATAAAAAATTTGTTCCAGGAATTGACAGAATATGGAATGATATGGCAGGGGTGGCTGTTGGAGCAGAGTCCATTGAGGAATTTAAAAGGAAATTAGATAAACACATCCAGAGAAAAGGTTTTAAGAGTGTACAGGATACAAGGATAGATTTCTTCATTGAAGGAACAAGCACACACACTAATAAATGGGTTAAATGTCCTAGATATCCAAGCTAATTTATCAAAGTTAGATTTCAGATAATCTTTGCATGCACGTTACACCAACCACTAAAAATTCCTCCTGTACCCTAGGTGGGGATTATTTTGGTTATGGTAAAAGCTGTTATGAAAGCAGTAGATCCTCCCTCCACGTCTGTAAAACTGCATGCATGAACAGAAGTCCATTCAAAGCCATTATTACCAACACTTGAAACAAAAACATGAAAAGGAATAGAATCAAATTTTCAAAAGGTTTTCTACAACAACAACAACTTGGATTTATATAGCGCCCTCCACGCCGGACGGCGTCTCAGAGCCTTTACAGTAACGGATCCCGGGACCGAGCCAGGGGGAGGGAGGTGACCAAAGGCGCGGTCGAAAAGAAAGGTCTTCAGCAGAGACCTGAAAATGGGAAGGGAGGGAGCGAGATGAAGGGAGTGAGGAAGGCAGTTCTAGAGCCTCGGAGCATAGTGGCTGAAGGCGCGGTCGCCGAGGGTGGAGCGGAGTACTCGGGACGAGGAGGAGGCCAGACCCGGAGGAACGAAGGCAAAGGGTACTGTTTTGGGTACTAATCCTTTTACAATCTCTTTAAGTAGATGGAAGCAGGCAATAGAACAGTGTCTGAATCATGCTGTATTGTTATGCAGCAAATCAGGTGAAACAGTCTGCTAACTGTTGGAGAACAGAACAGAAAAAATAAAAGATTAGAAAAAAACTGAACATTCACTATGAGGAAGGAGGATTAGTTTTAAGGATTTAAACGTTTTTTAAAAAAACTCTTGCCATTGATATAGCACCATCTCAAAGCAGTAAAAATAATTAATTAAGTTTAGTGACCACCTTTGCAGGCAATGTAGTGGGAAATTTGTGTAAACATCCTGCAAATAGAAAAGAACCAGGAGGTAAATTAATGTTTATCTGGAGGATGGTTGGCGAGGGCCCAAGGAGAAACCTTCTTTTGATGAATAGCAGCTCTATTCCCATCTCCAACCTCCTATTCCAAAGTACTGGAACTGGTCATCACTTCCCAGCTTCACTCCTTCCTCTCCCGCCACTCTCTTCATGAACCCCTTCAATCAGAATTCCGTGCCGACCACAACGTAGAAACAGCTTTGATCAAAGCGGCAAATGACATTCTGTCCATCTGCGACCTCTCTGCTGCCTTCAACACTGGTGACCACTCTATCCTCATCCACCGCCTCTCCTCTCACCTCAACCTTCACTGCTCTGTCCTTGACTGATTCAGATCCTGGAAGTGGAGTCCTGTAGCTCAGTGGTTAGAGGACTCGCTTTGCAAGCAAGAGACCTGGGTTCAATTCCAGGCTGAGGGCGAAACCTTGGGCAAGTTTCCTTACTCCACACAGAGCCTAATAATAATCTCTCCAAAACAATAATAAATTGGTCTTTTCAATCCACGACTGTTTGTGGGACACTCCTGTGCACAATTGGCTGCCGTGTTTCACCCACAAATATACGGTCAATTCACCTTACAGTCTATTCTGTGAAGCGCTTTGGGACATCGAGAAGACGTGAAAAGCGCTATATCAAATGCAAGGATTATTATTATATTATCCTATCTCTCACACCATCTCCGCTTCATCTCCACAAACAGTTTCTCCTCTAGCCCCCGCACCGTCTTGTGTGGCGTTCCTTAGGGCTCCGTCCTTGGTGCCCTCCTCTTCAATATCTATAGCTCCCTCCTGGTGACATCATCCGCAGACATGGGGTCAACTTCCACATGATGCGGATGACCCCCAACTCTACTTCTCTGCCTCCACCTTCGACTCCAGGACCACTGCTGTCCTGAAGAATGTCTGTCAGACATCAAGTCTTGCACGGGAACTAACTTTCTTCAGTTGAACATCAACAAGACCGAGGCTCTCCTAATTGGCTCCCGTCAGCGCCTCCACACCTCAGGCGCTGACAGCATCACCATCCAAGGACGGACACGTCACCTTACTAAACCAGTCATCTTGTTTGACCCTCAACTATCCTTTCTATCCCACATCCGTGCCATGACCCTCTCCGGCTTCCCCCACCGCCGCAACATCGCCCGGTTCCATCACTGTCTCACACCGCAGGACGCCGAGAGCCTCATACAACGCCTTCATTACATTCAGGTTCGACTAATGCAAACTCCCTGCTCGTCGCCCTCCCCAACTCCTCCCTCCATAGTCCGCAGATCATCCTGAACTCTGCCGACCGTGTCCTCTCCCGCGCCGGGCTCCGCGACCCCATCAACAATCAGCGAGGTCCGGCACCGGAGCAAACACAAGGATTACCATTACCAACATCATTAATACGCGTATCATCGGCCCACAGGGCTCAAGTGCAGGTCATTCATTGTCTGGAGTGAACCTCGGGGCGATGGCGTGTGGGGGGGGGGGGGGAGGCGGGTCGCCGTCATGGAAACCAACTCAGTCACCTGCTGTCCATCGAGGTTAAGGTGCTGTTGACTTACATTCCTTGCCCTCGGGCCTCCCTCCACCCCCTACCAGCGGACTCCCCGCTCCCGCTGTGCCGTCCCCCTCACCTGGCTGACCCGGCCCCGGTGGCCAGTAACCGCCGGCTCGGCGGCTCGCTCCTCCTCGCCGGGGCTCTGGCGAGCGGCCGCGCGGCGCCTCCCTGCCATCTCCTCCGCTGGCAGCCGAGCGAGCGGTAACAATGGCGCGCGAGCACCAGCCGACAGTTGGTGACCAGCGACGCCGCCATGTCTCTGCCCCGCCCCCTCCAAACCGCCGCGTCCCGGCAGCCACCGCCCGCCGCCACAGCCAATCGCAGAGCGCGCGGTCAGCCGCGCGGCCAGGCATTTAAAAATAGCCCAAAGTCAACCCGACGCTAGCCCAAAATAGCCCAATATCACGTGCTGCTCACCTGCACAACAACAACAACAGCAACAACCACATGACGTGTGTGTATCACCTTTCACGTCGGGAGGACGTTCTAAGGCGCTGGACAGTCAGTGTTTCGGACCCCACGCTGGGGGTCGGGGAGGGTGGAGGGCAGTGGGGGGAGGGTGGAGGGCAGTGGGGGGGAGGGTGGAGGGCAGTGGGGGGGAGGGTGGAGGGCAGTGGGGGGGAGGGTGGAGGGCAGTGGGGGGGAGGGTGGAGGGCAGTGGGGGGAGGGCAGTGGGGGGAGGGTGGAGGGCAGTGGGGGGGGGGAAGGAGGGTGACCGAACGCACGGTCGAAGAGGAGGGTCTTGAGATGGGTTTTGAAGGAGGTGAGGGGGGGGGGGGCGAGGCGGGGGGACTGCGGGGTGGAGATCTGATCCAGAGGGTGGGGGCAGAGCGAGGCGGGGGACGTGAAGCAGGTCGGAGCCCGCTGACCGGAGGGAGCGAGCAGGATGGTAGGGGGTTAGGAGGTCGCAGAGGTGGTGGGTGGGGGGGGGTGGGAAGACCATGGAGGGCTTCGCAGGTGAGGACCAGGATCTTGAACTGTGTGACGGGAAGCCAGTGGAGTCGGGCCAGGATGGGGGTGAGAGGGTCACGGAGCCCGGTGCGGGGAAGGACGTGGGCTGCAGAGTACTGGATGATCTGCAGCCTATGGAGGGAGGAGTTGGGGAGGCCGACAAGCAGGGAGTTTGCATAGTCAAGGCTGGATGTTATGTATAAGTGTGTGAGGGTTTCGACAGCCTGCGGTGTGAGACAGAGCCAGAGTCGGGCAATGTTGTGGAGGTGGAGGAAGGCAGAGTGGGTCATGGCGCAGATGTGGGGTAGAAAGGATAGTTGAGGGTCAAACAAGACGCCAAGGTTCTGGCCTGGCTTAGTAAGGTGGAGTGTGTAACCATGGATGGTGATGCTGTCAGCGCCTGAGGTGTGGAGCCAAACCGGAGAGCCTCAGTCTTGTTGATGTTCAACTGAAGAAAATTAGCTCTCATCCAGGACTTGATGGTGGAGTCGGAGAGATAGAGTTGGGTGTTATCTGCAAACATGTGGAAGTTGACCCCATGTCTGCAGATGATGTCACCAAGGGGGAGCATATAGATATTGGAGATGAGGTGATCAAGGACAGAGCCCTGAGAAACGCCGCACGAGACACTATAAGATGGCGGCTTGCATTGTAGAGGCCTTCCTCCTTTTCCTGTGACTGATGCAGACATTCAATGGACGTAAGGCACGAATGCTCAGAGTCCTCCGTGATGCATCTGAGCTCAACCTCTGCCCAGCACCCACACCAGTCGCACTGCCTCCTTGTGGCCCAGGAGGACCTATTGTCTAATCAGCCACTCTAGATAACTAGTCACTAAGCCATTTCCTTCTCGGAGTGACAAGTTATGAGGAGTCTACTGCAAGTACTATACACATGTATGTTAATGGTTCACCCGCCAAATATATGTTCAATAAAACTACCAAAACTACCAAATATTGAACATATATTTCATCTGTCTTCTTTTGCTGCATTATTTTATGTGTATCAGCCTGGCTCAGTTGGTAGCAGTCTCACCTCTGAGTCAGAAGGTTGTGGGTTCAAGTCCCATTTTGGGACTTGGAATGCATATGGTCTTGACTCTAAGCTTACACTCCAATGCAGTGTTTGGGGTGTGCTGCATTGTTGGGGTGCCATCCTTCAGATGAGACAATAAATTGAGATCCCGTCTGCCTGTTCGGGTGGACGTTAAAGACTCCATAGCACTATACGAAAGAGAAGTGAGTTTGTGTCCAGTGGCCAATGACCAGAGGACAAGGCCTGCAATTGAAAGGGGAAAACTCATAGCAAATTTACCCAAACACTATTTCAGTGAGGAAATAGTGAACAGGTTGAAGCAGGAAGTGTTGATTCTATGGAGAAGGTTGAAGCAGGAAGTGTTAATTCTTTTAAACACAAATTTGATTTTTTTTTACAAAATAACATTATGGGATGTACTACAAAGGTAGTTTGGGACATATGTGCATGTGACCCCAGGAAGTTGGAAGGCGAACTAGATGGTCTTTTATCGTCTAGCATTTCTTATGTTCTTATGTCCTGACCAACAATCCCTCAATTAAAAATTGGTCATTCACTTCATAATGTTTGTGCGAATTGCTGTGCAAAATTATCTGTTGCGCTCTCCCACAAAATACACAGTCACTGCACTCTACAGTATATCCAGGATTGCATCGATATTTGCAGTGGTTGGTATTGCAATTGGACACCATAGAAATGATATGAACAGCTTGTCAGCAGAACAGTTACTACTGTATCAATATATTTACTACATATTACTTATGAGTGAGCCTTGTAGGCTATTCAACTATAGGAGACATCAGAACCTTGATCTTACCCTCAGTCTAAATCCACACAAATGATTTGTAGAAAGGTAATATTCTACCCGGGTCCAGATTAACTCTATTAATGTAACATTTTGGAGTGTTCAGAATTTGGCAAATTCCTAAAAAAAAAGCCTGAATTTTGAAACTGTTTGAAACTACAGGAAAAAGCCCTCAAAGTTAAGATTGAATTCAACAATTTGAAAAATTTGCCGACCTGCAGCTAAAAGTGTGTCATTACATATAATATCCAGCAGGTGGCACTCATATGTACACTGACTGACATTTTCCTTCAGTAGAATTGGATAACCCAAGACAATACAATACAAATTACAACACAAATTTGTATTTATATAGTGCCTTTCACCTTTAATGTCAGGAAGGCATATAGTGCCTTTCACCTCTTATGTACAAGAGGACATAGGTTTAAAGTTGCAAAGAGCAGTATAGGCTCAAATATTGCTAAGATTTTCTTTACTCAGAAGATAGTTAATGATTAGAACAGGTTGCCATCTTGTGAAATGAGTCCAAATCACAGTTTCTCAATAAGCTTGTTTGCTAAAGCTTTTCTAAAACCTAAATATAGCTTTACATATAGGAGGAATGGACAGGACAGACAAGTCCATTACAGTCTGTGTGAGTAGTCCCAGAGCATGGAAAATACCATGACACTATAGCTTTTATGCCCCTAAATCAATGTTTCACCCAAAATCTATCCAACACCCTCCTCATTTATTTCCACTCTTTTCACAGTCTGTTTTATGTACAGCAAAATTCACCCAAGTCGTATCAGTCGGAACCTCAACATTTAATATGACCTATGCAAAGTCCAAGTGGCAGGCAAACTGTAGAAGTCGTAGAAAATCCAATTTAATCAATAAACGACGCTGTGCATGCGTAATGCAATGCAGCTGTTTGCACATGTGGTAATTCATCATTACAGCCGGTAAGTGTGTATTCAATGATTGGTTAAGACTGCATTTTCCGTGATTCAATGCAGCTTCACCCAACACCCATGTGCACTTACCGATAACAACAACAATAAAATTACATTTATAGAGCGCTTTCATGTCAGGAGGACGTCCCAAACCACTGAACAGTCAGGGGTTGGGACCCGAGCATGGGGGAGGGGTGGTGTAGGGGTGAGGGAAGGAGAGAGGTGGGAGGGCGACCAAAGGCATGGTCGAAGAGAAGGGTCTTGAGATCGGCCTTGAAGGAGGCAAGGGAGGAAGCGAGGCAAAGGGACTGTGGGATGGAGTTCCAGAGTATCGGGGCAGAGAGGCTGAAAACCCAGCCATCGATGGTAGGGTGGGAGACATGGAGCAGACCGGAGCCCCCTGAACAGAGGGAGTGGGCAGGTTGGTAAGGAGTCAGCAGGTCAGAGAGGTAGGAGGGGGCAAGGCCAATGGCCTTGAAAGTGAGGACGAGGATCTTGAATTCGATCCTCTGGGGGATAGGGAGCCAGTGGAGTCGGACGAGGATGGGAGTGATGGGGTCACGGAGCCAGGTACACGAGAGTACACGAGCTGCGGAGTTTTGGATGATCTGCAGCTTGTGAAGGGAAGAGTTGGGAAGGCCGATGAAGAAGGAGTTTCCATGATCGAGCCTTGATGTGACGAATGCATGGGTGAGGGTTTCGGCAGCCTGAGGGGTGAGGCAGTGGCGGAGTCTGGCAATGTTGTGGAGGTGGTGGTAGGCAGTGCCGGTCATGGCGCGGATGTGGGGGAGAAAAGACAGTTCAGGGTCAAACAAGATACCCAGGTTTCTGACTGGCTTAGTGAGGTTGAGTGTGCAGCCATGGAGGCTGTTGCTGCCAGTGCCCGAGGTGCGGAGCGAGCCAATCAGGAGGGCCTCGGTCTTGCTGATGTTGAGTTGGAGAAAGTCGTCCCTCATCTGGGACTTGATGTCGGACAGGCAGTCGGTCAGGACGCCAGCAGTCTTGAGTTGAGGGAGGAGGCAGAGAGATAGAGTTGAGTGTCATCCGCATACATGTGGAAATTTACCCCATTTCTGCGGATGATATCACCAAGGGGAAGCATGTAGAGGGTGAAGAGGAGGGGACCGAGGACAGAGCCCTGAGGAACACCGCATGAGACGGTGCGGGGTCTGGAGGAGAAGCCGTTTGCTGCGACGAAGTGGAGGCGGTGTGAAAGGTAGGACATGAACCAGTCAAGGTCAAAACCTTGAAGGTTGAGATGGGAGGAGAAGCGGTGGAGGAGGATTGAATGGTCGGTCCACAGTATCAAAGGCAGCGGAGAGTCGAGGAGGACGAGGAGACAGAGGGAGCCCTGGTCACACATGGTGAGGATGTCGTTTGTGACCTTGACCAGAGCAGTTTCTGTGGAAAGGGAGGTTTGAGATGGGCCGGTAGCTGGATAACTGTGATGGGTCAAGGGAAGGTTTCTTCAAGGTGGGGGTGATAATGGCTGTTTTGGGGAAGGCACAGTGCCAGATGGCAGGGAGAGATTGATGATGACAAACGTTGGAATC